GGGTCACCCGAGAAGCTGCCTAGTCGACTGATCCGGAAAGCTCGCAGGCGGTCGAGCGCCACCTTGAAATCGTCGAGAACGACGGAATCCGTCAGGCACTTGAATACGAATGCGAACTTCCAGAAGGGGTTGATGCCCGTGGCTCCTGGGAGTTTGATAGCCTCGGTGACTGTAGAAATGTCCAGGACGATGAAGACGATGCTGAGTAACATGGACAACAACATGATACCAAAACGCGGCGAAATGCGTACGATCTCCTTGAGGCTCAGTTCGTATTGCGTCTTGATGACCCAGAAAAGGTAGATGGTGGTGAGAATCCACCAGGGATCGCGGCATAGCGCCTCATATGGTCGTGTTTTCAGGAATATCTTGTTGACGCCATGAAAGTAGGCGAAGTTGGCGTATATCTCCACGACCCAGTACGGTTGAACAAGCACTACGGTACCGATGAAGATATAGCTGACAGGTTTTGAGAGGAACGGCTTGATCTTCATCCATGCAATGACATTGTGCAGAGACCAGGAGGCGTTCAGGAAGATGGCGGCGACGGAGAGCCACCAGGCGTGGACTGGGCTGGGAAAAAATAACCAGAATCCTTGCCAGATACCAAGGATGAGCTGGACTTGATTAGTATGGATGTAAGCAGATATGTAAATGTGGACTCACTTCAAGGAGAATTAACTAGATGGTTGTCAGCGGTGGTCACTGCTTAAAGAGGGTTCTTACTAACCTTGTGCAACAGGACGCCGCGCCTCATGTTTGCCAACGTGATGAACGCCATAATGATGAGCGAACCCACGAGATAACCTTGCGCCCATGCTTCCAGGATGAGTTCCTCCGGGTTGCTGGGCTTGGGTACGACCTCACCCTCTCTCCATTTGCGCTCGATGCTAGGAATGGGACTCATGGTGTTCGCAGAATTTTCGAAGGTCGGTTCCGAAAGCCGGGGCAGATGCCGAGGAAGCGTGCTGTGATGTCACAACGCGAAAACCTTCAAATTCGATCTTAACACTTTTACCATGGCAGGCGTGAGTGGGAGCGACAACGACGGGTTTATGAGGAAAGACGGGGAATGAGTACAAGAACGAACGGGCGCAGCTGGGCGTTTCTCGTGGCGCGTCAGTTCTCCGCATCTCGCCATGACATTTACGGACGATGGTCATCCTGGAGGCTCCGGGGGCCGAGTCCATGCGTAATGGTGCTTTGCCTAAGGGAGGCATAGTGTGATTGAATCATGGCGGTGGCGCCCAGTCGGCAATTGGGACCACGCGGGCCAAGAGGTGTTTGGTGAAGCTGTGAATAAGCCAGCCGTTGTCGACTTTGCACCGAGGCCTAGAGCCATTGGCCGGCCCGGCAAGTCTTTCGCTGACGCGCCGCCGCCACGAACGACTGCAGTGTTTGCACCATGACTGCCGCAATGGAATACTGAGGCATGGATTGGATGCGCACTTTTTGCGCGAGAACCAGCTGTTGCCGATGCGGTCAATGTCAGCACGGAACAGTGTACCGTGCAACGGCCGCATGCGTTCTGGTGCCTGGACGGCTAAAATTTGAAGTTCAGCACGCCTTGACCGGAAGCGGCTACCGTCGATGTCGATGGCTGCCAGCTGCATGGATGCTGCGGCGGGTGAGCGACATGGGACCCAACAGGCCGGGCCAGCGTCCTGGAATCTGGGATCGAAGTCTATCTACGTTGTTCATCTCCTTGCGGTTTTGGTGTGTGTTTCGTGTGCGAGGCTGTCTACCTTTGGTGGCAGCGCGACTAGATGGTAGATGACGGTGTGGCAGTATCTCTGAGAGTGTGTTTCAGATGGGACAATGTTTCAGATGAGGCAAAGGACGGCTCTGTAACGTGACAGTACACCACCGCAAGAGGGAAAACATTGCGCTTCAGCTTGCGACGGAAGGCTATGGAGTCCTCGACGTGAGCTGAGATTATCCGGAGGCTGTGAACAGCTTGTTATGGTGCGAAGACGCGTCTTGACGATGCAGCTGACGCAGTACCAGGCGTAAAGGAGACAATGGTCTATAAACAATGAGGCATTGCATGCTATCGTCACTGACGCCTTCCGGCTTACCAAGTACAGCAGAAGGTCGACTGCCGGCTAGCCAGCCTCTAGATTTCAGGATCGGCAGGTGAGGCCAGCACGCGCCAGCCGATGTGGTTAATTTCGCAGGTGTCATCAGAAGCCCAACCATGGAAAAAGTAGCTTCGGGTCCCAAATGCTATATTGGCGGCTACAACTGCCTAGCTGGCGACAGAAGTCTAAAGTGACGACCGGGTCTGTGGGCCATCCGTGGACATTGGCTGCATCATCAACACAGACTTTCATTTCATGGAACAGGGCGAGGACATGAAGAAACAAAGCGGCACATATGGCGAAGTCTGTCGCAAAGGTAAGTACTGCGTAGTCAGCATGAGGAGGTTCGACTCATAGTGATGCTGCCGTTCGAGGCACATGGCAAGGGCATGGCAAGGCTGGGGAAACGCGCTAGCTGCCCCGCTGAAGTCATAGAGAATCGCCGCGTCAAACATTGTTTGCGGTCAGCGCGCACAGCTTCAGACTCGCCCACAACATCCAACAACCGCCGCAGAAGCATACGCGTTCAACATGTTCAAAAAGAAACCCACTGTAGGTTGCAATCTCGCACATACGCTGCACTGACTAACGCCCCTTAGATCAAGCCCCTCTCCCCCCTCAAGTCGAGCGACCGCCGCAGGACAGCCGACCAGATCATCGCCGATTTTGGCATAGACATTCCCGTAGATGCCGACGCGAATCCCGACGACAAGGCAGCTTCTTCAACCGCCGGCCTCACAGCACTGCGCAAGTCGCTGCTCCCTGAGAACGCCCTGTCCGCGCGCTTCACCACAACCGCGGGGCCAGACCTCAAGCAGGTGTCGGGGACAATATACGTAGGTAGCCATGAGGGCACCAGCGGGGAGCAGAGGGTGTTGTGGGCGAAGGTCGGAGACAAAATGTACCCTACCGTCTATACTCTCTGGCACAACCCACGAATAGTCCCGTTGCTCTATACGCCACTCGTCGTGGTCGAGAAGATGCAGGGTGGCGCCGACCTGATGACGCCTGGTCTACAACGAGGCCCGCCTTTCCCCAAGAAAGCGACCAAAGGCGCAATCGTTGCCATTGTAAGCCTCGAGGCACCGACAGTTCCCATGGCGGTTGGCGAGTGCGTCATCGATGTAAGCGCGTTGGGCAAAGTCCAGGGCACCAAGGGTATGGCTGTGTCGACGTTTCACTGGGCAGGCGACGAACTATGGTCTTGGAGCTCGACAGGCAAGGCAGGCACCGAGCCTCCTGATATCCTCCAGGGCTGGGACGACGACAATGGTGAGGAGGCCAGTCTCGCTGAACGCACGGCAGCCGTCGATCTAGACGACAACGAAGGCGGTATTAATCTCGATGCTACCCCGACTGAACGATCAGAGGCGGAGAAAGCACAGGGCGTACAAGGCGAAGACGCGCCATCCAACAACGACTTCATCGATGTCCTTGAAGATAAAGAGCTTACAACAAAGGGTGTGCATCCTACATTCAATCACACCAACCACCAGCTAACAGTCCTCAGAAATCGATGAAGCCTTCAAGAACGCATTCTTGTACGGTGTCCGATACCACATGGATCACAACAAGGGCCACCCCTCCTACGGCCTCGACTTCCCGATCTCGCAAACGAATGTCATGTCTACGCTCGTCCTACCCTTCCTCCCTACCTATACCCCTGCGCGAACAGCCTCACTACAAATCAAAAAGACAAGTTGGAAGAACCTGAGAAAGTTCGTCCGGTATCTGGACAAGCAACAAATTCTCAAGTGCAAAGACCGCGACGGCAATGAGGTCGTAGTCCTTGACATCGACTTCAAGGACCGCCAGATCGAATCATTCGTCCCCTACCGGCTACCGAAGAAAGATGCGCCAACCGCAGCGAGCGTAAACGGCAAGCCAGCCGCACCTCTCTCCGCCGAGTCCTCCGTAGGCCAAAAGCTCAAGCTCGTCTCAGTCCTCCGACCCAAAGAGAAACTCGCACCGATTCTGAGCGCCTCCAAAGCCGACCCCCGCGGTCTCTACACCCCATCAGAGCTGAAGCAACTCCTCATCGCCTACATAGAAGCCGAGAACCTAATCGACCCCAAGAATAAGCGCCTCATCCGCATAAACCCGCAGCTTGCAGACGCGCTACTAGGCTCCTCGGCCGCCGACAACGCCGCCCTCTCCTCAGGAGCCATGCCACGCGACGCCCTAGCCGAGCGCATGGTCGCCGCCTCCTCCCCTTTCCACGCCATAATCCGCAACGACGCCGACATCTCTGACGCGAAGCCCAAAGCCGGTGCACCACCTAAGATCCAAATCACCCTTGAGACGCGCAGCGGCAACAAGACTGTGACGAAAGTACATGGACTGGAGCCGTATTACATTTCGCCGCAGCCGCTTGCTGATGAGCTGCGCAAGACGTGTGCCGGTAGTACGAGTGTGGATAAACTGCAGGGGTCTAGTCCCAAAGCACCGGTTATGGAGGTTATGGTGCAAGGGCCGCAGAAAGATGCTATTATGAAGGCGTTGGAGAAGAGGGGCGTGCAGAGGAACTGGGTTGATGTCGTGGATAAGACGAAGGGGAAGAAGAAGTAGATGTATATACGATAGGTTTGCAAGCAGTTGAATGATACCCAGCTTGTTTTCTCCATGTACTGTATTTTTGGATGACCGAGTAGTGACTGAAAAATCTCTTCGAGGTTATGGGTTGTTTTTATTAAACATACTGAATGGCTCACTACTATCGCAGGGTATCAGATTACCGGGAAAAGGAGTGGAAATGCTATAGTGAGCTCGTGCCTGACATGGGGAGGTGACTTGACCTCGTCTCGTAAGAAACACCAGACTTCATACAGCCCAACACGACTTCCGTGAAAGAATATGTTGAGCCCTCTTCCACCACTCTTCAATCGTTACCGGAACATGTTTAGCATCGCGCGTAGGTTCCTAGCCCGTGCGCGTCGCGTCACCGTCCTTGTCCGCTCCCTTCTCACCCACATCCCCTGCCATTACGTCCTCGAAGAAATTAAACATGCTATCCTGCCCACTCTTCTTGAACTCCTTGATACACTGCCCAGGTGTGATGACTTCAGCAATAGTCTGGATTTCCTGCTTCCATTCCTTCACATACGGCGCCGTCGGTTCGGTGTGCACGACGTAGAAGTGGCGGTAGTCGCGGCGCATATCGACTTGCAGTCCAGCGTAGTAGCGTATCATGTTCCGATTGGCGGCTTGCTGGCTACGTTTGAGCGTGTTGAAATAGTCGACGGGTTCGCATTCTGCGATCGCACGGCGCTCGGAGAGGATGGGGTGTTTGTCGGCTTTTAGGCTGAAGGGGGCGTCGGGACTGTCTTGCTCGATGTAGTTGGGGTTTGTGAGGAGAGAGTAGAGCTCCGCGGCACTATGTTGAAGTTAGTGATATATCCTTTTATTTCGAGTGTAGTGAACGAACCTTTGTACATCAGGATCCCCAGCCTGGAGCTCTGTTGCTTGGTCTTCACAGTAGGCAAACAGATGCTCCATCAATTCCGGGCGGACACAAAGACGCCAGAGCAAGCTGTTCTCGACGATCTCTGGCCAATGAGCTGATGGACCTGCGAGTTCCTTGAGCTTCTTGATTTTCGCCAAGAAGAGCTTGATGATACACAGCGCATATTTTGGCATCGCTTCGAAGACTTCGTCCGTGATGTAGATGAATCCACCAACAGGAAATATCTCAATGCGATCATTCCGGAGCACAGGTGTCTCGTCTGAAGCGTAGTCGTATTCGATACCTGGTTGAAGCCCGACCGACCAGAGACGCACTCCTCTACGGAGGACTTGGCCGAATCCGGGGATACTTGTGAAGTACTCAAAGTCGGGATGTGCCTAGTCTGCTTAGTATTCGTTTGTTCCACGGAGTGTGTGATACGTACGATAATGATACCCGTGCCTCCTTTCAGGATTTGTTGCTGAAAATCTGCCCATCCGCCTGCATAGCTCGCACTGCTGACTTGGACATGATGCATCAAGAGCCATCGAGTGATGATTTCAAACTCCACAAAGTGATCCTCAGGGTGAAAGAACAAGAAAGCCCTCCTTTCTACCGGATCGATGGTTGTTTCACCATCGTTGGTCGCAAACATGTCTTCGAAGTCGAGCTTACTGACTGCGCTTATTCTCTCTTGCAGCTCTGTGCATCTGATATCGACAGGAGGGAATTCCATGGGTGGAGGTGGAGGAGGTGGCGGCTGGAACGGTTGTTGCGGTTGTTCGAGTGGCATGGGAGAAGGGGAGCGTGTTACTTCATCGGCAACGTCCGGCTGAGCAACATCATCGATGTCCATATGGACAGACGCATCAGATTCATCAGACCCATCCGCCGGTCGAACAGGCTTCTGACGAGAACCATGTGGCCCATCCGCGACGATACCAGTATCATAATGTTGGAAGGCACAATCCTGGTCGGACTTACGACATTGAGTGTTTTTCCAGTACCAGCACGTAAGTTGGTTCGGTGCCAACGCTTTCTTGGTGAACTTGTCACCAGACTGACTTTCTCCACCATTGAACTCCGGCCGCTTCTCAGGATCAATTCGCACATCGGGAACTTTAGGATCAGTGTGCTTCATCCACCCAGTGTTGTAGTGAGCGTAATTACACTGTTCGGCAGAATTCTTGCAGCCCCGTTCATGGTTCAGCCAATAGGGACAGGTGAGTGGTGGCCTGCGATATTTACCAGGTATGAACCCTTGCATATCCCCCAAGGGATAGTCACGGCCGTTTTCATCCTTATTTCTATGCATGAAGCGACATTCTTTCGGACCTCTCGGGCAATCGTTGCTAAGCCTCCAAGAATAGCATACTAAGGGGACTTTGTGGGATTCCCAGTCTTCCAACGGTAGGTTACCGTCAGTAGACTGTCGGCTTGGGCGAACGTCGCTGTTGGAGTCTTCTGTGGGTCGCCTATGGCTAGGCTCACGACGACCGTATAGATCATCGCGTGGTGCGCGCGGGAGCGAGATAGTGGTACCGGGTGGGGCGTTGACAATCTGTAGAGCCGAAGGATCAGGTGTACCCTCCCTGGCAGACTTCTTATTCGCCGCCCCTCGTCCTTTAAGGTTGCGGAAATGGGTCTTATTCAATTCAGAGATCTGACGAGGCGGAGGTTTCGGTTGGTTCGTGAACTTGATGGCGCCATTCTTTCCTGTATCGGATGTGACATTACTAGGACTGACCTGCGTAGTGAATGAGACCGATCTCTTCGCAGTACCGGGATTTGCGCGGGCCGGGGTTATATTGGTAGAACCTGTAGCGGCGCTTGCAAGCTCACTGGTGGTACTCGCCCTCCGTTGCGTGGGGACCGGGTCGACATGTCCGGTTCGAGAATGTGGATTTGATTCCGATGGCGAAGGCTTAGCTGGGCTCGGCTTAGTAGCTGACTTCCGCTTCGGAGTGGTTGTAGCACGTTTCAGTGCTTCACTGGCTGACTGAGCTGACTTTCGACGTGGCCGGCGCTCAGTACCAGCGCCATCTGCACTAGTTGACTTGTGCTTTGTCTTCTTTGAGGTCATCGTGATCTCATCAAATAATGAGTCATCCGTCAACTCTGCTTCCTCAGAAGAAGACAAAGATGAGTCTGACTGCACTACAGGAGGCTTGCGCGCTCTTGGAGGTTGTCTTCTGGGACTTTCGATGAACAAGTTGTTGAGTTGACTGGAGTCTACAGCTTCTCTTTCTGCCAGTGTAACTTCGAGGGGCGGCACACCTTCACCTGCCGCTGCTCGAACTGCTGCCTCGAATCTGCTTATGTTTTGGTCGCATAGCTTCCGGAATTCAATCCCGCTCATTTTCGATTTCTTCAGGTTCCATAGTTCCAGAGCGGTGGGAGCTGGGGGTCCTGGGGCAGGCTCGGGGTCCGTTGGAACATCATCATCATTAATGTTTTCAAAATTTGATGCTGGCTCCCAAGTACCTAAACAACGTTAGGAAGATGCGATGAATGTTCAACCTTGTGGAACGCTTGAAGAGTATAGGTCGGTGTAGTGTCCCAGGCAATACCAAAGAACTGCGAAAGACAGGATTAAATACTTACTGCTTCATAGCGGGTTAGCTTGGCTCAACGATCGTTCAGCATAGACTTACTCGGAAAGTGGATAGCCCTCCCACTTGGTCAAGTACTTTATGCCCTTCCCGAAGGGCGCGACGTCCCATTCATTTTGCCATTTTTCTGCTATGATACATTCCACGTCAAAAGTACCCGCCACTTGCTCATCGTCTTCGACAGGGCGTGATGACATTCTGGCGAAAGCCGTAGAGATGAATGAGGATGCAAGGTCCTGATTGGTTGAGAGCAGCGGGAGGATGCTGATACAACGCGCAAGTCGAATATTCCGATACGCGCCCGATCGCTGTGCTCGCTCAACACGCGATAAGAAGAGGCGGAGTTATTGCCGCTATTTGACGAAAGGCGGCTTGTTTGCGGTGGTGCAAGCAACAACGGCGTGAGGGTGCAGGTGAGGGCGCGGAGAGTAGCGTCTCGCTTACCTAATGCGGCATGGGCTCGTTCGCCCTGAGTGCTGGCTGGTGCTTTGTTGGTGGAGCAGCGACTCCTCGAGGCAGCGAGATAGCGCACCTGGACACTTCACCCGCCACGACGACCGTACTCTGCCTCTCTGCTTGCCCTGATACCCCAACGCTATCCAGGCCCTGCATCCGAAAACCTCGCCGAATTAGCGACTGAGACGTGCACCCGCCGCCCGCCTGCCACTCTTCCCCACCTGCCTACCGCAACAATGGCGAACGACGAATATGACGTGAGTCCCCGTACGCCAGCAGCTGTGGGCTCTGCATACTGACCGTCGTGCCTGTAGTTCCTCTTCAAGGGTACCGCCTCTCCCCCCGCCTTACTCGTTATGGTCTCGTCGCCCGCTAACCCCCGCAGTGGTGCTCATCGGAGACTCAGGTGTCGGTAAATCCAACCTGTTGAGTCGATTCACGCGCAACGAGTTCAACCTCGACTCCAAGTCGACCATCGGCGTCGAATTCGCCACCCGCTCCATCCAAGTCGACGCAAAGACCATCAAGGCCCAGATCTGGGATACCGCAGGCCAGGAGCGGTACCGCGCCATCACCTCCGCATACTACCGTGGCGCTGTCGGCGCCCTGCTTGTCTACGATATCAGCAAGCACCAGACATACGAGAACGTGACGAGGTGGCTGAAGGAGCTGCGCGACCATGCCGACTCCAACATCGTCATCATGCTCGTCGGTAACAAGAGCGATTTGAGGCATCTGCGGGCAGTGCCGACAGAGGAGGCCAAGCAGTTTGCGAGTACGTGTCCCACTCTATGACACTGGCAGTTGTCCAGATAGTTACTCAGAGACGACGTAAGCTGACACTCTCCAGGTGACAACAACCTCTCCTTCATCGAGACGTCCGCCTTGGACGCCAGCAACGTCGAGCTTGCTTTCCAGAACATTCTCACAGGTACGCCCGTCTCACGAAATAATACCCCGCAGTAGATACAGCGGTCGGCGCAAAGTTTGGCGTCACAGTCCATAGGCTGGATAGACGTGTGCTTACACCGCCACTTTCGTCGTACCCTCAACGCCGAGTCACCAGTACGAACTGCTGCTAACACTACCCAGAAATCTATCGCATCGTCTCAAGCAAAGCCCTCGACCAAGGCGAAGGCAGCGGCCCAGTCCTCGGCAACGACCGCAAGGTGCTCGAGATCAGCAAGTCGGCCGACGCGGAGCAGAAGAAGGGATGCTGCTAGACGACGACGAAATCCACAAATAACCTTCACCTACAAACTGTTTGCGCCGGGTTACAACGCATGTTTTTGGCGGGAGCAGCGAAGGGAGAAAGCTCGGATATAGCGAGCAGGACTACGATACAAATGTGCCTTACGTTTAACGCGCGGGAAACAACATGAGATGATGCAAATGCCCAAACTCGGCGTCCAGGAAGTCGCTCACTTTACGTCTGCTTTGTGTCTGTTCGGCTACAGGTGTCGGGGTCTCTGCTTGGTTTTGCATGCTGCGAGAAGCATCTCTTTTGTTCGGTTCGGGACTGGAGGCGATAATGCGAATAGTGGCTGTATGTATGGCGTGATTGCAATATCAGCTCATGTTCAGATTATCTCGCGTAGCCACCATAGTCGTTGATTGTACAATCGGAATGTCACGATGGGCTGACGCGTCAGCAGACTCCTGGAGCGGCGGTTGTATCACATGTGACGAAGTAGATCCACGGCTTAGTATCCCTCTGTCGGTCGTCTCGGCAAATCGAGCACTTGACCAGTGCACTCGGCACGTAGATCGGTCCTTTGCGCATCTCCATCACCGTACCGAGCATTTCTTCCGGGCCACTCATCATGACAATACATCACTCGGATCTCGACCCAAAAGTTCATCCAAGAACAACAAGTAGATTCGTAAATGCTCATGAAACGCCTATCCCCCTTCTACCATTCATATCATTGGGCCGCCAAGTATCTTCCGCCTTCGTCCCGGGAGGCAAGTACTGCGAGCCCTGCTCAGAAGTCCTGCGATAGCTCGAACTGCCCGAATCATCATGTCTCTTCTCATCTCGTGACTCGTGAATACCCGGCATGGAGTACGTCCCTGGATCCTGCATGGACGACGGACTAGCCGTGAAAACAGGTCGCGATTTAACGTCTGTCGCCAAGGGAAGCAGTGAGCCACTGTTCTTGGACTGCAGTGCCTTCGCGCGTTTATCTGCTTTGGCGGCGTCGTGCGTGCGGTCGTAGAGGTATAGACCTACGAATGTGAGGACGAAGCCGAAGGCTTGCACTTTGGTCATGGGCTTGCCGAACCAGACGACTGCGAAGACGATGACGAAGACGCGCTTGATTAGACTAGCGACGGAGTAGGTGACGGGTGACACCATGGATAGTAGCACGAAAGCTACAATGTTTTGCCCAAAATGGAAGGTCCCGTTGAACAGGAATTCTAGAATCAGCCGCCCGTGGTCGAGAGCTTCAGGGTGGTCTGATAGTTCGATGGAGGCGTCATGCAGAAAGTCGAAGATGAGGGTGAATCCTTCGGACCAGAGCCAGAGCGGGAGTGTGAAGAGGAAGGCTAGACCGGAGGAGTAGCAGAGGAGGTTTAGTTTGTCTGGCTTGGTGAACTTGTTGGGTGGGAGACCGTCTTTCTCAGCGGCTGCGGCGTCGTTGAAGATCTGCTTGGAGACAATGTTCTGTACGACGAAGAGGATCGCGCTGGCAAATGCGGACATCAGGCCGATCAGGTTCGCGTTGAAATCCGCCGAGCAGGCCAGTATGACTCCCAGAGTAAGTGGTATAAGGGAGAGGTATGTTGGGATCGAGTATTGAATCTTGAAGAAGATGCTGTAGGCCATGACCGTCAGGAGCGGGGAGAGTCCCTTGATGGTGTGCACCAGCGACACAGGTATCCTCGACGTAGCATCGGCGCTGAGAATGTGTCCACCGATCTGGAAGAGCGTCAAGGGTAGCGTAGCCATGATCAGTTCCCTGGACGGGCTGCGAATGCCGTACTTGAGGAAAGGCATCGTCTGCTTCAAGCGCGGAAATTTCCTGGCGAACATGGCCATTATCAAGCACCAGCCAGATACGAAGGCGAATTGTACGGTCGTAAGGGTGATGGGCTTCGGTAGGGCGGTCAGGATGGCCTTGGAGGACATGTTGGTGAAGATGGAGGTCATGTACCACACACCGCAGAGCACCTGCGTCTGTTAGCCATGGACCATGCAGAGACGTGCATGGCGCGACGTACGATGAGCTTAGGCGACAGCGGTGCCTTGAGCGCATCTGCGAGTTCATGCGCGTTCTGGCTGACACTGCCCTTTCGCGTCCGTATTGTCCTGAAGGCCTCGGAAAGGCTCTTCTGTCGCCCGTGTCTGTTCGAGGAGCCCGACGAGGAGCCATTCATGCCCCCGAACCTAGCCTCTTTGCGCGGATGCCACCTATCCCCTGGCATCGCACTGCCGTTTGTCTGCGCTGCATGACTGGGGCTGGCGGACCGCGACGAGCTGAGGCCGTAGATGTTGTCTTCCTCGGGCGTGGGGAGCAGATCGGGCTGGAAGGCGGGAAACTTGAAGGTAGCGTTGGGACTCGGGTCCCGCACCAACGGAGGCGTCATGGCGACTGCGGGATGGAAGGGGTTTGGGGTGTCGTAGAACTATTCGTTACGCCATGGGGGTGGGAGAAGCGATGTTGCAGGCGACTTGGTGCTATATGCGCGGAACAGTGGCGCACTCTTTTGCTACACGCAAGAGCACGAGGGCGGCACAATCAGCGGTAGCGGTGGTGGGGTACCGTGGATCGTCGAGAAGGATTATTCCACGAAGCGTGGTGTTGAAGGCAGGCGTCGCAATAGATCCGTAATTAGCGGAGAATTGTCTGGTTAGTGACATACGCGTTCCGGGCGTCGTGCAGCCGACAGGGATAGCAAATCACCAGCCCTCGTCAGCCAAGCTCCGTTGATGACTTCGGGAACTACCATGCATTCCGCACCTGCTGTGTCGGGCAGAGATCTTCTGCACCGATAACGACGTTCCTGTTCAAAACCACCTCTTTCGCTCCTCATCATGTGTCGAGGCTTCGTGCAACCCCGAGTATGTCTGTTCCGATGAACCGGCCGTCGCTGCCGTACTTATTCTGTGCTATCTTCCTCCTGCTGCAATTGGGTCATGCTGCGGAACATGGCCCGGTCGTAGCCCCACTACACCTAGTGAGCCGCCAGGAGAGTGCCTCCTTGATTTCCTTCAACGACACATGGCACGTCTTAGGGCCATTCCAGGTTGGAACAAGAGGTACGTCATTGACCGTGGTGACGCGGAAACACCATGCCAACATCATATAGAAGCCACGTGGGGTGCCGATCCACTCGAATACTACGGCGGCTTCAGAAATCTCCAATATGACCCTGAGGCGACATTTCGAAGCTCATTGCCTACTAACGGAACCGCGTCATGGAACGTGACCCAAGCCGTACGAACTTTGAACGATGCTACATCAGCTAACGCTTCCTTGAGCGTGGCTTACTCCAACGTTGATTGGGACTTCCTCAAGGTCGTATACGGGTGGGCTGCTGTTCAATACCAGGCCTGGGCTCGTGGCGAACTCATCGTCGGCGGTAATGAGACTCAACATCTAATCTTGCATACGGACGCCATCCTGGAATACTGGGTGGATGACCAGCACTACTTTGGAGGAGACTATTACAGCTACCGCAACGCACCTCCTGTTCTTCATCTCAAGCCTGGCTCACACAGAATCGATCTTCGCCTAGCTCGCGATGTCAGGGCTTTTGGAGGCATTCTGGAGCCTACCATTGATGTTGTCGTTGACGTGCAAAAGGCCACAGGGTCTCTGGAACTTGCGAAACCTGGCATGCTAGTGTCTGATGTGGTCGACGGAAAGCTTGCTTCGTCGATTGGATCGGTATACTTGAGAAACACTGGGGAAGAGGATATCGAGGTCCTGAGTATTCAGCCCTCAGATGTGAGCTCGCACGTCTCTTTCGCCGGGTGGACAACGGGCGCTCAGTCATTGTTACGCGAAGATACTGATACTGCTGACCAGGACGACTCTGACACATACGAAGACTCCCGCATGCCCATCACTATTGTTTCAGGTCAAACGAGGCCCCTCGTCTTTAAAGCATCTCTCTCTACCAACAACGCCTCGTCCTTGGATTACGACATCACGTACCAGTCCGTTGGTGGAACACGCCAAAACACCCTACATGTGTCTCAAAAGCTGAATCATATCGATCTCTACAGGCCTCACAAGGTCACATATCTCCATCCGGGCGGCATAGCTTCCTATGCTATGCTTCGCCCTCCGGCGAAGAACGCAACATGCCCATCGGGACAATCGAAGTTGCCTCTGTTGCTGCAACTGCACGGAGCTGGTCTTGAAGCGGAAAATGCCCAGGTTACTGGAGCTCTGGATCCCGTCTCTGATCTCTGTGCATGGGTCCTGTTCCCAACAGGTGTCACGCCGTGGTCCAGCGATGACTGGCATAATTGGGGCTTCGCCGACGTTGAAGCCGCAATAGCTGCGATTCCAACCTGGATCGCGGACAACCACTGGACCGGGTACGGTATCGACACAGACCGCTGGGTAGTCTCGGGGCACTCCAACGGTGGGCAGGGTACTTGGTATGCCCTGACTCACCGACCAGATAAAGTACTCGCTGCAGCACCAGTTTCGGGCTACGCCAGTATTCAAGTGTACGTGCCATACCATCTGTGGCAGCCTGCAGACCCAGGACGTACAGCGGTCATCAGTGCCTCACTAAACAATTATCGACATGAAATGCTCATGCCTAACGCGCATGGAATTCCTGTTCAACAGCAGCACGGTGAGATTGACGACAACGTTCCGGCTTACAACGGCCGCCTACTTGCGGAGCAGCTGTCTCGTACAGGAGTCAGTTCGGGGGTCACAGGAGCCAAAGCTAGTTACAACGAAGTAGCAGGGGCAAACCACTGGTTTGACGGGGTCATGACAACACCAGCATTGGTAGACTTCTACTACACCCAAGCTATGAACACAGATGTTTTACCCCGGAAAATGGAGCATTTTCTTATCATGGTCGGCGACCCTGGAGACATGGGGAGTAAGAACGGTATTCAGGTCAAAAAGCTAGAAGACCCAGGACGCTATGGCAAGGTCGGTGTTCGGGGACACATCATCAAGACCTCCAATGTAAAAGAGCTTGAGTTCAATACTGCCATTTGGGATGGGTCTGTGACTCTCGATGGGCACGAATTGAGCCTGGCAGAGGCAGCAGCGACCACGGACTCTTTTATCCGTGTTCACAAGACGGACGAAGGCTGGAACATCGGCTCACGTACTGCAGATTCTGCGCAGCCTGAAAGGAGTGGCCGACAACTGGGCTCCATGACTGCTATTCTTCGCACCCGTGGGCCGTTCACTATCAGGCACCCAGGCTCTAGCAATTCGTCGTACATTGCACTGCAGACTTCACGCAATCTACACCAGTACTTCCAAGCAGACGCCAACATCGTCTCTTCCACAGCAGACTCTGCAATTTCCAAATACACCAACAACGTTATCACTCTGGCTGTTGGCGCCAGTCTCAAAGAAAGTGAAAGCAACTTCCCGATTCAATTTGGCGACTTTGGAATTACCATCCGCGACTACCGGGGGCAAGACCAAACATACAAGGAGGAAGCTAGAGGTGCGGCGTTCTTGCGACCACTACCAGACGAGCGTCTCGAGCTCGTATTGTGGGGTGCTGATGACGAGGGGTTGCGACAGGCATCCCGTATCGTTCCTCTGCTGGCAGGCGTCGGTCAACCCGATTTCGTTGTCTTTGGTGAGAGCGCAAAATGGAAGGGTATTGAGGGTGTCTTAGCGATGGGTTTCTTTGACTCTGAATGGGAGGTCACTCCCAGCAGTGTCATAGAAAGTGGGTAAGCAATGCGCAGGCCCAAGCTCGAAGAGGTGGTAGGTAGCTGCGGATATCAAAGGCTCACCATGTCTCATCAACTTTCAGTGTGGGAGTAAGGCTATACCAGCTTTGACATGAATGCAACGGGTGGAGACGTAGAGCGGACCGTCCTTGACAACTGTATCCTTGATTCCTCTTTCTACAATAATCTTTCCGTTTGTTGAGGTGAAGACGAGTGCGACGCGTCCCGACGCGACGCGCCTTCCACCTGGGCACCTACTCGCGCTCACCTTGTCTCTTTCGGAAGCTTCTATTGTCACCACCCCGCTTCTCCCGCTTTCTTTACTCACCATCTCCTCGATCTCTTCCTTCTTTCCACGACTGTCGTCCTTTCCTTGCGACAACGCCCTCTGCGACCTACTGATTTATGTACATTTGAGCTGTTTCCTCGTCGCTTCTGCATCTACATTGGCCATTTACGTCGCCAAACGAGCTGCACCGAGCCTCTGTTCTGCATATTATCTGCCCATTTGCCCAATAACCCCAGATTTGTTTCCAGCCGCCTTCAGAACCGCACGCTTCACCATATAGCCTGGACACGTCGGTAGCCTCTCGGATCTAAGTCATCTACCCACTCTTCCAAGCTCCGCTACTATGAGCTTCAACATAACTTCCGACGGGTCTCCCACACCCCGCAAGGGCCCCAACCGATTCTCCAAGGCCGGCGATCTCAGGATTGACACCTCGCCAGAGGTCCTGGGTCAGGCGGTAGGCAGCATGAGCCTGCACCAATACCCATATGCCTTCCAACGTGCGTTTGGCTCATCGTTGACTTGCAATACACAGGGCATGAAGCGACCACTCGGTTCTTCTACCCTGGGCAATCAAGCGCCTATGCTGCAGCAGCACGACTCATTCGACGGCTATAAGGTCAGTACAATCCAGCATTTGCAGCAGGCTCACCGTCGCGCCCTCTCACATCGACCAAGCTGACCTACCCAGAAGCCCAAGATGGGAGCTCACGAGGAGTCAGCCGTCATGGACTCGCTCTTGCAGCGCCTGAATGGACGCTCCCCTCCGCACGACCCGTATAGCTCCTCCAACGGATCGATCCCCATCACACCGGCCACCGACGACTTCGCATCTACCCCATCGACGGAGTTGGACGGCTCGATCATCCTCGTCGAGGCTTGCGAGCTACAAAAGCTTAAGCTAGAACTACAAGAGGCCCGCAACGAAGTCAACCGCGTCAACCAGGAAATGCATAGCCATCATGTGGCCCGGTCGACCATGGAGCACCTGAGCCAATCGTCAGAGGCTGATTATAGCTACCCGGGTGATGTCACTGAGCAGACTCTCACCAGCTTGCAGAACAAATTCAATGCTTCCACTCGGAGCAACTACGGTTGGGGCAATGAGCCTGCTCGCCCAGCCTATACCAGCAACAACAGCTTCGGCAACTCATACCAGCCCCAGGTGCAGCCTCAGCCCCAGCCTCAGGCCCGTCCACAACCCGCTCAGTCAGGCTATCGTCGCAATGGCTTCTTGAACGAGCCCACTCATTTCCCTCTCGACCAGAGCTTCCGCAGCAGCGGGATGTCCAACGGCTTCAATGCCGGTATGGGTAATGGCATGCCTAACCCCATGAACAACAACTTCAACGGTATGAACATGGGCATGGGAAATGGACTGAGTAATCCACCTAGCCGCCCTAGTTCGGCCTTCGATCCGAGTTACAATCAGTACGCTATGCCGCCCATGTATCCGATAGGCCACCCGGCTCCGATTGGTACAATGGCCAGCAGATTGTCGCCAGATGCGAACGAGTTCAACGTGGCCAATGGCATGGGACCGTCTCCATGGAACTCTCAGGTAAGATACCACTACTGCATGCAGAACCCCGACTTTTACTGACAAGACATAGGCTCCGAGTGAGGCGGGTACTTCACAGTACGTGCCCCCTGTTGAACCCATGAACTATCGTCGCCTGTTGGACCGAAACATGAGCTGCAACTGGAAGTACATCGTCGATAAGATCATCTGCAACAACGACCAGCAGGCTTCCATCTTCCTTCAGCAGAAGCTCAAAGTAGGCACACCGGAACAGAAGTATGAGATTGTGGAGGCAATCATCTCCCAAGCTTATGCATTGATGGTCAACCGCTTCGGCAACTTTCTTGTACAGCGTTGCTTTGAGCATGGTACGCACGATCAAGTCATCGCGATCGCCCAAGCCATTCGCGGCAATACTCTCGCCTTGAGCATGGATGCATTTGGCTGCCATGTCATCCAGAAGGCCTTCGACTGCGTCCCGGAAGAGTATAAAGCAACTATGGTGCACGAACTGCTTCGTCGCATCCCAGAGACTGTCATTCACCGTTACGCTTGCCACGTCTGGCAGAAGCTCTTTGAGCTCCGTTGGAGCGACTCTCCTCCCCAGATCATGCGCTACGTCAACGAAGCTTTACGAGGCATGTGGCACGAAGTTGCTTTGGGCGAGACGGGCAGCCTGGTCGTACAGAACATCTTCGAGAACTGCCTTGAGGAAGACAAGGTACGTGAAGGCGCTATCAATCCTCTCGGATTCTACTAACTGGCATTAGCGTCCCTGCATCAACGAGGTGCTCGCCAGTATCGATGTCATCGCCCACGGTCAATTCGGCAACTGGTGCATCCAGCATATTTGCGAGCATGGTGCGCCCGCTGATCGTAGCCGAGCTATCGATCACATCCTTCGCTTCAGTACTGAGTACAGCATGGACCAGTATGCTTCCAAGGTCATCGAGAAGTGCCTGAAGATTGGTGGCAACGAGTTCCTGGACCGGTACCTGGACCGCGTATGCGAAGCTCGCCCCGACCGTCCACGCATGCCTCTTATTGATAGTAAGTCTGGAGCACCCTTGATTCGTGGACGATAGCTAACCTTGTTGAAGTTGCTGGTGATCAGTTCGGCAACTATCTTATCCAGTATGTCTTAACCAACAGTGGTACCCAGCATCGCGAGCTCGTTGGCGGCCACATCCGTAAGCACATGGTCTCTCTCCGCGGTTCCAAGTACGGCTCTCGCGTCGCCATGCTCTGCTGCAACCCTGCCCTTGCGACACGCCCAGGACCTCCGGCGGGCATGCTTCCCCGCTATGGCAACCCCGCACCGCGCCCCAGTTTTGGCGCATTCCGTTAAAGACGTATTTGCGCGTGTAAATGTCTTTGTCCACATACGTATCGTTGGGTATTATCAGCCAGTGCACCGCTCGCTCGATCTCGAAGAAGGTATCGTGGATATGCCCAAAAGCTAAGATCAATGTCGAACAAATTGTCGAAGACCATTGGCTTAAAACGAAAGTACGCATTTCCTACAGTCAGTTGGAAAAGCATCGATTCCTGGACACGCCTTATCACGGACATGTTCTTTCTTGTTTATCCCAACACTTTCATCGGCCCTGAGATACTTAGTAGGATTATGGAGGCAAAAGCTGGAGAAGACGATATGGTGAACAATGAACTGGATTGTACCTACATACTTATCCTTCTTTCGGAAGCAGACTAATCACGAGGTAATACGGTTACGATAATGCTGTCATCGGATGTATGTATTCTTCGATGGAAATAAGAAACATGATGACCTATTGCATGTATCACTGCTTTTGATGTGTTGGGAAGAGTTCGTGGCTTTACCGCAGTGATGGGAACTGATGAGTGAACATAAGAGACAGACGTTGCTACCCGTCTTGTCGTGGATGTCAACGTGCGGAGCCGCTCGGTGAATCCTGGAGTTTGTACGGGCTTCGGTGGCAACTCGGGCATGGCCGGGAAAGAGCTTGCACATGCCGGGAAGACGATAATCAAGGTTGGTGAAAACTTCGAGCTGTTTCATCGAGAATCACGTTCTAAGGGACTTGCATAGCCTCGTGTAGAGGAGAGGGAAGGTTGGCCGCATATCTGCTGAGTCCGAACAGTGCGAGCGGCGAGCGGCAACTAAGAGATGCCGCTTCGGCACAGAATCCGAAGAGCATGCGACACGCGAGAACTTGCCGAGCAGGAACAAACCGGGGATGCATTGCTCACAAGCTTACAGAGCCTTACTTAGCGGCTGCCTGCATGTAGGTGTCAGGGTAGTGAATGCGCATGGGTGATGCATTTCTGATGGAACTGTTGCGAGGCAGAGCATCTTGAGGAGGGAGTCATGGTTCGCTGGGAGCGCATCCCGAAACGAGTTAAATGTTCCTACATCCAACGTAGAGCTGCAAGAAACGAACAGCAAAAGAAGTCCCCTCGAGGTATACTCACTCGATCATGCATCGGTGACCTGATCTCTCAGCGCACGATAATCGGCCCAGCCCTGGAGGAACGTAGGGCTAGGCAGGGCCTGCCGAAAGGGCCTTACCTCATCACTGCCCGCACATGTCAACGTGGGTCTAGCGGCGCCGGAAGTTCGGCGACGTCACCATGAGTTTTGAGCATTGCGTTATCTTTTAATAAGTCGCCGCGTGCGCCGTCATATTTTATATACCCATTCAGACTCCATACACATACCCATCCAAACTCCCAACACTAAGCGTATACCTGACGCACAACTCTCGACAGCCGCCACATCCACACGATTGTCCACCATACACCTGTATTCTGAATTGGAGCAGTTTCTACCTAAGACAAGATGAAGGTTCTTACCAAGGAAGAGGAGGCCGCGCATTACAAGTGAGTATTGCACTCTAACGGCGATGGGAACTTTGTACTGACAGCTTCAAGTGCCACAATCAAGGGCGGCTCGATAGGTGGTGCCATTGGTACGGCGATAGGTGCTGCAGGTGTCATGGCTGCGAGCAGAAGATACCACTCCTTCCGAGCGCTCACAGTTCCTTTCCGGGCTTTCCTTGTCGCCTCAACAGGAACATTCATCGGTGCGTATCTCTCTATCGCGAAATCCCGGTGTTCGATTGCTAACAATGCTACCCCACAGCCGTCATCGCCGCCGACCGAGCCTCCGCAGCATACGACATCGAACACACACCCGAGAAGAAGCGTCAAGTCGAGCGAGAGAAGGAGCGCGAGGCCCTCTACGAACAAAACAAGACCGCTCTCCAGCGCGCCAAAGCCTGGGCGACCGAAAACCGATACCCGATTCTCTTTGGTTTCTGGGTCGTCTCCATGGCTGGATCATGGCACATGGTCAACCGCAACCCATACCTGAGCGGATCACAAAAGCTAGTGCAGGCGCGTATGTACGCACAGGGTGGCACACTGGCAGCGTTGCTAGGCAGTTTTGCGATTGAAGGTGCGGACGCGGCCAAGGGTCAGGGAAGATGGGAGACAATTAGGGTTATCGACCCGAACGATCCCGAGCATAAGCATGTTATCGAGAAGAAGATTCACCACGAGCGATACGCTGGAGAGGACCAGTGGAGAGGTATGTCAAAGTCGTGAAGTTGAATGTGGGAATAGCTAGCTGACTTGATGATACAGAAATGGTAGAGGCTGAGGAGCAACGCGAGAAGGAGCGCAAGGCTGCTGCTGCGGACAAGGAGCACAAGGCTAAGCAGCATGCTGATGCTGCTAACAAGAAGGAGAAGAAGGCCGAAAAGGAGGAAGAGCAGAACAAGAACAAGGCTTAAGCGTACGTTGAGTTGATGTTCCACACTATCTTATCACGACCTCGAATACCTCCGACCCAACCTTCAACCTCTCGATTCGCGCTCGATACGGACTCCGCGTTGTCTTTCCAACATCTTCGTCCTCATTTCCCGGCGTTTGGATGCAAAATACTCTACGACCCTGACCTTGTACCTGTTATATCTGTACGACTAGGTTGTGTTCAGGCAGCTGGATTTTAATGCGTTGTATGTACATATGAGCGCAGTTTAGCGCATCTACGAAAACCACATCCTTATGCTACAACATTTGATTACGCCATAATGCTGTCTAATTACGCGTTTACATGTCAGAGCTATATCAAATTTCTTTTTGTATACTCTCCCACCCCGCACGTGTCGGCTGTATGATTCTCAGGGTCCATCATGACGTCTGCGCTCCTAAGTTGGTGCATCAAGCACGTCACATGCTTTCGCGACGAAGCTAGCTGGTGCATACATGTTGTGAGACTTCCTGTTTTGTGATCGTATCTTTGAACTTGACTATTACTGAGGTTACAATATCTTCTCTTCACCATTACGTCTTGGCCAGCATTGAGAAATCGTGTCTTCGCGTACAACTCACACCAGCAGCTTCGATTTTACTAAGCAAACCGAAGAAATGAGTCAATCAGACGTGTCACGGACGCTGGAAACGATATCACAGAAGCTCATACCCAACACCAATCTCGTCCACCCACCCAAGAAAGCCCAAGATGCACAACTCACGCCGACAATCGCAGACCTACATGTCCACCCGACCATCGAAGCACTGCTTCACATCCTCAACCATGACTTGGAATCTGCACATTTTCTAGTCCGGCACATGCAGGCTCCGCCAGCTGTGGAGGGGATGCTGCTGCACGGTATTTTGCACCGCGCGGAGGGCGACTTCAACAACGCAAGAGCCTGGATAAGCGACGTCGCAGACGCATGTGAAGGCTACCAACCCAAGCACAAGGAAGATGGTCAGAAATTGGATGCTGAAGTTGCGAAGCAAGTTGGCAGCAACTCTTCCATCTCTGCCTCGCTGATCGAGTTTGTCTATGGCGATGATGAGCCCAAGAGTCTGATCGATGCTGTTGAGCAATTTCGAAGCAAGAAGAAGAGTGAGAGGACCGATGACGAGGAGGGCATTGAAAAGAGGATAAGAGACGAGGCGGAGAAGGTGTTGGCGTGGTGCAAGAACAAGTTTGGGGACGGGGTGTGGGAGGATGCGACGAAGGCTTGGGTCAAGAATAGCGAAGAGATTAGCAAGATCAGTGGGGATATGGTTAGTGGTGGTAAGGGACATAGGGAATTCTGAGACTAGAGATGGTGTTGGCGGTGTCATAGCACGCGTAGTGGGGTTGAATTATTTCTGTTGCTAGAACGCTGTCGAGCGAACACATCTAGAGCGATCCTTACGGCGATCTTCCAGATTTCGGTAGCTTATCGGCACCTGTTCTAAGGACACGTTTATCTTCAGGAACGTCCTGTCAAGCGACCCAGTGATAGTACCGTGAAAGCGATGCCAAGACGTGATGATTTGTTCCTGCCCACGATCGCAACGTGCATCCCCACTACCGCGCTCAACCATGGTTCAGATCGCCGTCCTCGGGGCAACAGCACGTGAGAGAGGCAGCAGGAATGGATGTCTCAAAGCCTGTATACAAACAGAGGGCATGATGCAGGCGACCGTCATCTGTACGGCAGCAACCACCGCCTGGGCTAAGCGAGGATCAGGGCCAGGGTGCAGCGGCGAATGGGCGTCGACGCTCCAGAAGCGGTCGGCCTGTGACATCAACGGCCAGCTTTCACCCCTAACAACGCCATTATTCTTCCCGCACCACGTGCAGCTCTCGGCTGGACTGTACACCAAGCAATCATGGCCGACGATTCCCTCAAAGTGAATGGCCAGGGCCGTCCCAGCAACGTCAAACACCACACGTCCCCCTCGCTCATGATGAACGCCCACTTTGCCGGCGTCGGCGACAATGTCGACAAAAGTGCCTACGAACATGGCATCCAGGTCATCGACGAGGACAAGATGTTCAAGTATGTCCTCTCCGCGTGCAGGCAATTGGGCAGAGGGGCAGTAGGCTAATGGGTTCTCGCCATGTAGCACAAACGTCTCTACATATCTCAACATCGAGAAGGTTATCCCCGCCGGCTTCAACTACCACCTCATATCCGTCTTTGGCTCGCAGTCTACCGGAAAGTCGACGCTGCTCAACTACCTCTTCGGCACCCAGTTCGGCGTCATGTCCGAGCAGGAGCGCCGCCAGACAACAAAGGGAATCTGGATGAGCAAGAACAAGCGCGAGGAGGGCGGCTCCAACATGGCCGAGAACATCCTCGTCATGGATGTTGAGGGTACAGATGGTAGAGAGCGAGGCGAGGACCAGGACTTTGAGCGCAAGAGCGCCCTGTTCGCGCTTGCCACGAGCGAGGTCCTCATCGTCAACATCTGGGAACACCAAGTCGGACTGTACCAGGGTGCCAACATGGGCCTGCTCAAGACTGTGTTCGAAGTCAACCTACAACTCTTCGTCAAGGACAGCCAGTAAGTATATCGACTGCTCTGGGTTTCTCACATGCTGACGATTACGTAGATCCACTCCCAGATCCCTCTTATTCTTCGTCATCCGCGACCACCTTGGCACGACACCCCTCAAGAACCTACAGAACACCTTAATACAAGACCTTTCCAAATTGTGGTCGACCATCTCAAAACCCAATGGCCTCGAGAACTCGCGGATAGAAGACTACTTCGACTTCGCCTTCGTCGCCCTCCCACACAAGATCCTACAGCCAGAGAAGTTTGAGGAGGCAGTCACACAGCTTAGCAGGCGGTTCAAGGAAGGGTACAATGACCCGAGGAAGAGCGGACTCATCGACGAGGCGACGGCACCCATCTTCCTGCCCCAATACCACCGACGGATTCCCGCAGACGGTTTCTCGGCATACGCGGAGGGTGTATGGGATCAGATTGTCAACAACAAGGACTTGGATCTGCCTACACAGCAAGAGCTGTTGGCTCAGTTCCGCTGTGACGAGATCTCACGGGAGGTCCTGGTTGCTTTCGACGAGAAGATCACACCACTGGAGGACCAACAAGCCGAGCATGCTCGGACCGGGCAGCTTTCTGTCATCACCGACCTCGGCCCTGCGATGAGCGCTGCACGAACCAAGGTCTTCAAAGACTTCGACACGAACGCGAGCCGATACCACAAGGGCGTCTACAAGCGGAAGCAGGCAGAACTCGAGGGCAAGGTGGACACACGGTTGAAGGCACTGTTCCAGAAGCAACTCACTGCTGCTCACAAGTCCGGAGTGGAGTCCTTCAGCGAAGCCGTCAGTGCGGCAGTGAAGAGCGGTCAGAAGAAGGGCACATACGACTTCGCACAGATTGTCGATTCGGAAAAGAAGCAGGCGCTTGCCAAGTTCGAAGAGAATGCGAAGGCCATGGCGATCGAAGGCGCGGCCTGGAGCAGTCACGAGAACGAGCTGAAGATCTACAAGAAGGACCTCGATGACGTCTCCGGCCGTCTGCGCAAGGAGGAGATGAGGCGTCTGGCTACACGAATCGAGCGCTGGGTACGATCAAGACTAGACGAGTCTGTCGGTCTGGAATTCAACAAGCTCGGATCCGGTCGAGGCGGTTCTGGCGCGCCCGAGCATGGCGAGCGACCACCAACAGAGAAAGATCTCTGGGACCGTGTCTGGACTATCTTCACAGAAACCGTCTCGAGCGCCGAGAAGCGTTTCACCGACCGCGCATCCAGCTTCGATGCTAGCCCCGAAGAAGTTGAAGTCGGTCTGTGGAGGTTACGACGGAAGTCGTGGGCTGTGCTCCGCGCAAAGATTGATGAAGAAGTCATGGAAGGCAACATTCTCTTGAAGCTGAGAGAGAACTTCGAAGACAAATTCCGCTATGATGAGCATGGCGTCCCAAGAATATGGCGACCCACCGACGACATCGAGGGTATCTACACCAAGGCTCGCGAGTCGACCATCACCGTCATCCCACTCCTTGCCCGTTTCAAGCTGGCGAAGACATCAAGCCCTCCACCGCTCGATGCATGGATCGGCGAAGCTCCCGCGTCAGCAACCGCTGCAGATGAAGACGATCTGACACCCATCGGTGGCTTGGACGATGAAGAAGGCAAGACCCTGGAAGAGGAGATGACAATTCTCTCCGACGCCAAGCAAGCCGATCTGCTCATCCGCTTCAAGAAGACCGCAGATGGTGTGTACGTGGAAGCTAAGCGTAGCGCGATTGGCGGTATCACGCAAGTTCCGTTGTACTTCTACGGTCTCCTCCTCGCGCTGGGTTGGAACGAGATCGTAGCTGGTAAGTCTCAAAGTCGTCTCTGCTTTCCGTTACCTATATACTGACCTTTCTCAGTCCTCCGCAACCCAGTATACTTCATCTTCCTCATCCTCCTTGCCGTCGGCGCCTACGTGACGTACACCCTTAACCTATGGGGCCCCATGGCACGCATGGCCAACGCCGCCTCCACACAAGGTCTTGAAGTCGGCAAGGAGCGTCTTCGCGCTTTCCTCGAGAGCTCGGATACTGGCCGCCAAGCCATGGCCATGAGCGGCGGTATGAATGAGACTAGGAGGCACGAGGACGTCAGGATGGACAGGCTGAATGGCGATGGCAAGAAGAGCAGAGCCGAGGAGGAGGACCTCGACGATATTTGAGTGTGTCATTGCGACTAGTTGGCTCGTTTGGGTAGATGCTGGATAGCGTAGGATACGGAAAAGGGATTGTATGGCTTTGATAAAGTGTGGTTGAGCACTCTGTTGATAGAATCCTAGTTGTTGGGACGGCTTCGTTGGAATGCGAAGCTGGATAAATGATTCATTGTTCCATGTCGATGCGCGCGATTGGGCATGCGAACGCTGCGTTGGTGGTGATGATTGTCAGCAGTACAGGCGGTTCCACGGTTCATTGTCCGCGCTACTGGTGTATATAAACCACCTTTCTGGTCGTGCTCTCTTGTCCTCATACTCTCTAAAAGTTTCCATCTTTTATCACCAAAACATCGCCAATGGCGATGTATGTGGACTTGGAGACCATCGCTGGTTTTTTTCTCCAAAAACGATGTCAACAATATCTCATGGCTTCTCTTGCCCAATCTTCCGAGCACTCTCCATCACAAAAGAAATCCAGCTTCGAGTGCCTGATGTTCTCTGGTCCTCTGTTTCTGTTCAGAGACACTTTTCATCCAAAATACTACCCGTTCCAAACTATGTGTTTGGCCTTGCTTCTCCAGCGAGAGCGACAATATCTTCCAACACCACTCACGACTTACAAATTTCGACTTTGGCCTGCGCTATCCCAAAGATGGGTTCTAATCGACATGTCGAATCTTTGGAACGTCAGAACGCCAGTTGCATGTGCTGGTGTTGGCGTTTGGGAATTCGAACTCAAAAAACCTGCCACAACAAAACATGAGCGATGGGTATCTCTTCTACGGTCTTCATGACCCTCGCCTCGCCGAATAGCGCAACAAGTACTTAAGAGCTTCCGACGACTTCTGGATTTTCTGATTGCTTCTCCTATCACTTTCCGGCAAGGACATCAAAATTGCTTTCTTAGAGCAGCATGGAGTTTGCCTAAAATAGAGAGCAAAAGAAAGCATGGTCGTGGCATCTTCCTGCTTCCTTACATTTCGCAGTCACGATGATGTGGCCTCATACAAAATATAGCGACGAAACAGAGCATGGGTGCAGTCGCCTCGCCTCGCCTGGGCCAAACACGAAAACATGTTCGATATGCGACCGATGGAATTGAGCGGCGGACGAAATGAAACTATTCGAAGAGTATCATAAGACACAAAACCTACCAAAAAACATGGCATCAGCATTCATGTCGACGAGACGTTGGCGACTGCATTCCTGGTTCAAAATGCAAGACATACGCGACATGTCTGGCACTCGGCCGGTAATGGACACCGGTATAGATACACCGCTTCTCTTGAGGGAGTTACTAAAACATCTTCTCTCCTTCCAAACTCAAAACATGAAATGGTGGTCGTCATGGAGATTTGTTGCCTGAACTCAAATATCCCGAAAGTACATTCACGGCTCGCTTCAAGCTATCAGGTTTCATACGCTATAACCCAAAAGCTAGCGAACGGAAAATTATGTGTTGTACCTCCGGTCAGCCAGGGAGTTGTTCTTAGAAACAAGACGAGTTTTATTCTATGTCGTGGGGATCTGCTTCTCCCTTCTCCTGGAGTTGCGAGAAAACCGACTGAGCGATAAACTTCGACACTTACTCAGTATGTCTAGAATCCAAAAGATGTTTTCGAAAACGGGATGCAGTCTCTAGCTGGCTCGTGCCCTCGATGTCTATAAAGTCACCTCCAATCTCAGTACCCTCGTCTCTGCGATAACAACAATATCTCTTCCCGATTTCCAAACTAGGCGATCTCTCTGCCATGAGCAGAAGAGAGGAGCCCAAAACTACCCAACACAAGACCCATGATTCTCGCCTGGGATTCTGGCGAGAATACTTGAAAGATGGACTTCGACGGTGTATGACTTTGCCGTTGTCGAAGAGAACTCGAAGCTTGTAACATGAGATTTTACAAAGTTCGATATCCTGGTTGAATGCTGTCCGAATCAAAACACGCCAAGTGGAAACACATGATAACACGAAATATATCAAGGGCCCATCTATGGTTCTCTCCTTTGGGCCTCCGTATCTGCTATCCAGCTCACTCCAATCGGCGCAGAAGAGCTTTCATCAAAACATGGGCCACGTTTCTATTGGGCTTGTAAAGAGACTCTCGGCTTCGAATCTGCGCCTCTTCTTTACGAATACTTCGCCAAACAATGTTACCAAAACAAAAGATCGATGACCTATGGGAGAGGTGAGAAGCACGAAAAGACTGAAGAGATTATCCATGATCATGCGGTCGCGCTAGTCTCATAAAGCAAATTATGTGCAGTTTTGATCGCATCAGACTACCGACCCAGCTACGACGAGGACCTTGCGCAAAGCGACAGATCAATGCAAAATGAGTGGCGAGAATTGGTATGTTGGCTGCTCGGAATGTACAAAAAACCATTCAAAATTCGAGTTATGTCGAGCTCTGGTCTCACAAAAGTTACTACACGTAAAAGTTACTTGTCGTCCACCGCATGATCTTTGGCCGATAATCTGGCCTGGTGTCTACTACATAAAGGCACCAGGCTTTGGCACCTTTAATTAACACACCAATATTTTTCGCCTGATTCCTCTTCCTAAAACCAGACACGCTCTGGTATATGACTGTCTCTCCGCCGACCGAAAGGTACTAGAGACAGTAGTATGTCCTGGCTGTCTTGCGGGAGCGATGTGAATTTGTTCATGTTGTTGTCCAGACCTCTTTCCATCAAACGCATGGTAGATCAAAGCCATGCCGTCTCACTCGTGGTTTCGACTCAGCATAGTACAACAATACCAGTCTACGTTATTTAGTCACTCCAAAATAGTGGGATCCGCTTCTCATGAGTGCGAGAGTTTGCTGGGGCCGTACTATAAAGTCGTCGATCCTGCTTCTCGACCTACTCTCCGTCTTACTCATCTCTTCCGGAACTTTACAAAACCCACGATAAAGTGTTCATGGGTTTCCCTCCGACTTCAAAAAGTAAAACGATCGAAACCATGACTGAGTGATTGGGGAAACTATCAGTATCAGTATGTCCATACTACTCTATCATCCCGATTTTAATCCGAAAATTTGAGTCGCTCATTCCATGTCCTGTTCAGCCAATTGCGAGCCAAAAAAGAGATCTCAAAGATCGCATGAGTGTTACCAGCCACTTGCCTCCATCTACAGCTCGACTAGTAGACTCCTGGATCTATAAAGTCTCTCCTCTCCGCACTTCTCAACACCCAGCATCACACTCGTATCTCCAACCTAAAAACGCCAAAAAGCGATACAAACGACAAATGAGATTGTTTCTGTTTCTCCAAACTTCCAAAAAGAACAGACAGACACGATATGACGTTCGGCTGAAAGAGAGCGCTAGTCAGTCTAAACTCCACATTATCCAAGACATGTTCGCCTTTGAGAGCGGTTGCGAAAACAATATTGGCACCAGCATATGCTGGTTGGCATCTGAAAAGCGAGACTATTCAACGCATGTGCGAGATGGCTGCCAGAAATACAAACGCGGGCTTACTATGTTGTTGCTGTGGATAGCCCTTGTCTGGGATGTATAAATATCTCTTCTCCTGCACAACCCAGGTCTCTTTTCACATATTAAATTGAACGTTCTACTCAAAAGAAGAGCGGGCAGTATGCATGGTGTGGGCTGGTGCACGGAAGACTATGATGAAAGAGCCATGGGCTGAGTGTGAACACTATCGGCTCTACGAAAAATCTCACAAAGAGAACACTATGTCGCGCAGACGATAGGAACCGATGTGTATGTCTAAGCAGAGAGGGTAGACTTGAAAGACGTGAGGAAGTAAAAAGTGTATTCCATCACCAAAACAAGACACCGCCAGAGTCAATGGCGGCTCGGGCACCTGGAGAATATCATCATAGCTTCGATCACTCAAACTAGATCCTACCTAACCCACGCCATCTAAACACCAAACTTCCTCGGGTCCAAACTCCCAATCTGCGCACTCTTTCCCTCCCCCTCAAACACAAACTCACTCAACAGCTTCCCCGTCGCAGGCCCATTCTGAATCCCCCAACAAGTATGCCCCGCACCCATCAGCAAGCCCTTCACACTCGTCCTCCCAATAAGCGGTCCACTCCCCCTACTGACATTAGGCAAATAGCACGCTTGTCTCGCCGTAACCTCTCCATCCCTCAACTCCTCGGAGATAGCAGAGACCTGGTCGAATATCTCCTGACACTTACTCTCATCGCATTGCACGAGATCTGTAGATGTGGGTAGGGGAACGAGGTGGTCGCCCTCGCCGCATGCGTAGACTTCTTGGTTGGGCCGGGCGTAAATTTCCGGGGTTACGGTTTCGCCGCGTTTGTTGTTGCCGCGGGGCATGTCTATTGAGGTGAAGAGGGCGTAGGCGGAGACCGGACGGGATGGGCGGATAGTGACGCTGTGAGCGCGGAGAGCGGAGATGGGTGATGGTTTCCAGACTGTTTTAGTCCAGGGCCCTGCTGTGAGGATGACGGTGTCGGCGGGGAGGGTTTGTTCTTCGCCTGAGTCTTTGCTCTTGTACGAGACAGACTTAACGGCGCCGGCTTCTTGCTCGATGTTCGTGGCGGAGCCATAGACAATTTTTACACCCTTTTCTTCGGCGAGCTGCGCCATGCTTGTGGTGAAGTGATAGGGGTGCACTTGCGCCGTTGTGAGTGGCGTGCCCATCTCTTCATAAGACTTGATGCTATCTGCTGCTACTTAATCGAGGTCTTTCGGTACACCGGCAGCGCGTAGTAATCCAATTGCTCTCTGCGTGCGCTTTTGTAGACTGACCGAGTCATCTTTGCTCTTGCCGTTCGCACCGTCTTTGCCACCCTTGTTCTTGGCTAGAACACCGTACGTATCGACCTGACCACAGTGCACGGCTCGGTATCCCCAACGCTCAGCGCCGCCATGCTTCTCGGTTAACTCCTGATGAAGTTTGTAACTTAACGGTACGATGCAGTTGGGGTAAGCCCATAATGCTAGAAGACCACCGGCCTTCCCTGAGGCACCGCCAGCAATCTTAGTAGCTTCTAAAAGTGTGATGCTGTCTCTTTCTTTGTTGAAGTTTGGGTGGTGCGACAGGAAGTATGCTGTAGTTGAGCCAATGATGCCGCCACCTGAAGTCGTTAGTAAGAAAAGTCATCGAAAATAGAAAACTTTCGGCCAGTCTTACCGATGATGACAATGTTACGCTTCTGCTGATCGGCTGCCATGATGTTTGTTAGGCGCGAAGTTGCTCTTAGCATGAAGGTGTTGTCGGGTTGCGAGAGTGGCGTTGTTGGTGTTGCACTTTTCGGAGAGATTTAAACCGACCACTGAGGTACGTCATAGTTCACATGTGCGCGAATGTTCGCAGAACCGACCTTAGAGGAGTGTACTTGACTAAGATGAAGATATTATTCTGCTATCAGAGCACAGGAAGGGTGACCTTAGTATCTAAACAGGTAAGGAAAATCGTGAGACTATTAGGATGAGACTGCATCGCCTTAGAAGTCGCCGCCCATGTCGCCCATGTCATCACCACCGCCCATATCTCCTCCACCCATATCATCATCACCGTAGTTATTCTCGACGTAAGTGTCACCGCCGTCTCCTGCCATTGCTGATCCGATGAGCCCACCGGCCAGCAGACCTCCTCCGGCTCCAAGGGCCATGCCTCCCATGCCGCCGCCTCCCGGACGCCTGCCACCACCCATGCCACCTCCCATAGGCATACCGCCGCCCATAGGCCGACCGTATCCTCCTCCTCCATAGCCACCTCCGTAGCCTGCATGACCGTATGCTGGCTGGCCGTAGCCATGCTGTTGTGGTGGGTAACCGTGCGATGACGATGAATGGGACGAGCCAGTGGCCTTTCCGAGGATCTTGCCTAGCAGTCCTTTGCCCTTGCTCCCTTTGTCTTGTGTACTCGAGTCGTGGTGTTGCTCTTGCGGGTACGAGCTGGTGGTCTGCTGGCCATAGCCGCCGTACTGTGGTGGTTGCGACTGGCCAGGCTGCTGGTAGTAGTCGTTCGCATGTCCGCGTGTGTCGCTCGAGTGTCCGTTGGCGCGCGCTTGTTCTTCTTCTTGAAGCCTCCTGGCAAGCGCCTCATCCTCGCTCGTGTTCGCGTATGGGTTGTTGCTGCCAAAGCCTCCCTTCTCGCTGGGGAACCCACCTACCGCGCCACTTGCTGGAGGCGCATATCCGGGGGGTGCGCCAGCGGGCGGGGCTTCGCCGGGAGGATAGACGGCCTCGGTTGGCTTGTCCCATTGCGACTGCTTCGTGTAGGTGTTGACGTAGAACCACTCGTTGTATTGTGGGTTCCAGACGGCCTTCCAGCCTTCGGGTACCTTTGGCGGGGGAGGGCCCTGTGAATACTGTTAGCGATGCCATGCGACACCAATGCTACGATTGCGATGTACATACTGGTGGTGGTGCGAAGTCTGCCATGCTGTGAGGTTGATATGAGAGAGCCGGGTGTCGGATGTGTAGGAAGGCGAGTAAAGTTGAAGAGATCTGATGTAGATTGCGTATAACAGGTAATGTCGCAATGTGAGCTGCGGGGTGGTGGGCTAATAACCCAGGGCATTACGCGCGACCGGGAGCTTCAGTCGAGTGCGCGTCATCGTGGCGAACGAATAAAGCGCCACGTGCCTGCTGAGCCACATTGCGCCACGGAATCAGTAGTTCTCTTGGACGATATGCCGTGGTTCCGTGAATAGCGCGCGACGGTTTGGTCAGGAATGGTGGATCTCGAAGGGTGTTCTATGAGAGTGATGTCATTGGAGACCTGTAATGCGAACAGACATGAAGCGGGCTAGTCCCAAATCGGTACCAGCGAGATTGATCTCGCTGGTAGTTGTTTGGGTATTGATACCCAAACAACCTAACACCACTATCATCCTTCAACGGCAAAGGACATGAGGGCTTGAAATCTGTAAGCCACTTCCTGCATTCTCCATCCTCCCCCTAGTACTTTTCTGACACGCGTCTCTGTCCAACCCGCATTCTACTCGTCCGTCTGTTCTACCACCATGTAGATGCCTGCGTCCTTGTACAGCTTGCCGAAATCTTCCTGTACTGTCACCTCCATCCTTGATACAGAACCCCATGCGGTCTCCGCAGCAGTCAGTCCCCCGAACAGACCACCGAGAGCGACGGTCGCGGCGGAAACAAATGACGGTGCCGCGTTGCTACAGAAGATGAAAGTTGCCTTGTCGAGGTGCGGCAATATGTTTTGCATCTTTAACACAGCAAGTTGCTCTATGATGACATTGGCCTGGGTACCGCTGGACATATAGCGGAGAATAATGTGTCTCAGAGTAGCAGGAAGATGGTCCTTTAGGAGACCGTATATGACCTCAGGGTCCTCCTCAATGTATGGGATGTTCAGGACATCCACAAGAGGCACTTCCAATGTCTCAACGTTCTCGAAGATCTTGAAGGACCCCCTTTCAGGCTTGAATGCGGAGGGAAAGATCACGAGCGCTTCCAGCGAGAGTTTCGAGTCCGTGAACGTCGCCAAGAGCTGTGGGAGAACGATGTCGGATCCTGTGATCGCATTGACCTGGGTAGGACCAGGTCGATAGGCTATGCATGTCAGTGTCTGACCAAGCATGATCTTGCGCAAGAGGCGAAGGTTAACACCACACCCGAGAAGGGCAACACTCCAGAGTTTGCTCGAAGGAAGCGCTCTAAGCGTGAAATTGTGACCACCGGCGGCAAGAGCGATCAGGCGAATCTGCAGCAAGTCTGGTGTAATGTCGAGAAACTGTAAACTGTTCTTGACGACTGGCTCTTTCAAGTTCGTGTTCGAGCCGATGATCTGTAGCACCGAAAGCTTCCGAAGTGCTGTGCTGGAACGAGACAGGAAGTGATGCCTACGTGATGGTGCAACAAGTCAGTAAATGTACAAACAAATAACATAGTGGATAAATCTACCAATCAAGGAGCGGAAAGGGGCTCAGTCCATCGATGTTGAGGACTTCCATGTTGGGTAGCAGAGCCAGCATCAGCACAAGCTGCGCATCCTCAACACCCCGTCCTAAAAGTCGCAGAAAGTCGCCGTCCTCCTTCAGTGATGTGTACCATACAATGCTCGCCTTGAGTGCTGATACTGAAAGCGATGTGGGCTCCGCGACTATACCGGCCTTGACTGCGGCTCCGACGAACAACTTGAACCTCGCCGTTGCTGAATCTTGTACGCTCTTCTCCGTGCTCGTGAACGACGGGCCGCTCTTCTCGGTTTGGTCGACGTCTCTAACCTCGGTCACACCCCGCCACGCAGCTCCTGTCGCGACCTCATACTCCGAACGCCATCCGCGAATGTCGACGCGCTTCACCTTAGCCGCAAGGTCGGGTCGCTCGCATACAGTTCGAAGGAAGAGATGGAAGGGCGCCTTTGCGGGAGCAGTGCGGTTGAGGTAGATCTTGTAGAGGGTGTCGATGGCGGAGACATTCGCCTTCTTTGACGTCAGGGCGAGTGCGCGAAAAGCCGATCGGGGGAGGAGGCTGGCGACCTGGTCGAGCAGCTCGGTTGGTAGTTTCAGGAAGCTGGCGGCACCGGTACTCTGCGCGCTCGCCATGGTGGATGTGGGTGTTGATGTTGGCAGTGTCGTCATCAGGTATCTGTCTTGTTCGGGGAGGAGCGATTGATCGCTACCCAGAACTCGTGGTAGTGTCAGGGGCTGACTCTTCGCGAGTTGACCTCAATTGCAAGCAAACAATGGATGTGTATGCGAAAGACCGAATTCGGCCAATGGGACTTGCCACGACAAACGCTCGTGTCGCAGCTATCGCGTGGTTCTGTTGCCAGGCCGACTATACGAGCGCGATGCTACGCAAGTCTATTTTCTCTTACCACGATACTGGCTCACGCTCTTGTGTTGACGATACTTCTCTTTTTTCGAGAAGATCTGATTGGATGGGTACATGTGGAATTCGGAAGTTGTGAGTCGCTCGTCTGCGTCGCGTCACCGCAGTACCATGCATGGGACAAGATGGAAGAACCAGAGTATGCATCGCACTCTGAGTCAGAAGAGGGCAATATAAGATGGTCGCCGCTGCGTCTTCGTTCGATACTGCCTCAATTCGCCGTTGATCTCAAAGATTCAAAGTTGGAGTTCCAACTTTCCAATGTTCCTCGCTATCGTCTTGTTCGTTGCGTCAGCCAGGTTCACGTGCCCCCAGAGCCGCATTCACCTTCACTTTTGCAGAAACTTCCACCCCTGTCTCAGACCTTCTATTGTGACGCGCTTTTCATATTTTCGCTGCTGCCTACAGCGCACAGGCTCTTGGCTTGGCGCCCACACACGGCGTATATTGAGTTTTCTCCAGCCTTGTCCTCCACCTCTTTCTTCCTCCACCTCTTTCTTCCTCCACCTCTTTCTTCCTCCACCTCTTTCTTCCTCCACCTCTTTCTTCCTCCACCACCACGCAGGTAAGTGCTCGCCCCGGACTCCCGCTTGCTGACTATCCCCGTGAGGGTAGCATTCCTTCCCTGCGACCTGGATCCTCTTTAGCCTGTCAGTATCCTCCTGGTCTTTGCCCCCAGTTAACACTGCCAGCGATTTGCTTGAGCTCGTGTCTCTTGGGTACTAACGCTGGATCCGTGACTCTCTGTTGTAGGGAGGGCGTAGCCACACTGTCTTGCGCCTGCAGCTCGACAGTGCAGCTTCCCCCACTCATCCCGGTGTTATGGACTGGCCCCAGCGGCAATGCCTCTGTATACGACGGCATGCTATGGACCGCATGAATCCAGAGCGTTGGTGGAGATACGCATACCACCGGGTGAGAAGAGAGCCACAGAAATGGTGTTGCCTTCGGGCTTCCTGACAGACCAAATGGTCCTGGCCTGATCCCCATGATGGCGGTGGCAGCTTAGCACGCCCAAATAGAAGTAAGCGGGGTTTGCCAACCATCATTTGTGCAGAGAGTTATCCCAGCCCTTGGTCCAACAGGTACCCACTGGGGTAGGCACACCCGCAATGGGTTAGCACATCACCGAGATGGAGGACGACATATACATATACATGTATCGACCGGCGACATCGACCGGCGATACCGACCAACGACACCCACCGGCAACATCGACAACCGACGCGGCTATGATCTCACAAGCTTCGGCTTGCTGAGAACTTTCTTCCTGTCATTCGGCACTCATCCAAGTGATGAGGATCGATAGGAACCTTCTTTTTTTTCATTGAGTCTTCGCCCTGGTGGTGTTGCTTGAGGAAGAAAACTTTGCTTCGTGATACTGGAGAGAAGCGACTGGGGTGACATTGCAGCTTGCAGCGCATCGCGTCGGCCATGATGACAAGCAGTACTAGAGTAAAGAACAGATGAGTGTTGCGCGAAGCTGAGCGTCTGACAAGGACAGGTGATGAGTGAGATAAGATAAACGGCTAAGTAGGTGACTGGTCGCAGGAATGGAATCGCGGCGGAGAAGTCGCAAGAGCAGGATTCGACAGCGCAAGAACGACATGTTTCTGCAATGGGTCAAGTAATACAGGTATGAGCTAAGATTCGTAGTCATGTCGTTGAGAAAGTGACATCTGGGCCTCCAACATTCCACACCCGTTGGAGAAGACTGAGAAACATTCTGGGCGATCAAGTGAGCACATTGTTATGCGGACGAGATTGGCGATCTTTGACACCCGAGAGCAGTGAGAAAAGGCAGCGTACAATAAGCGCGAAGACAGTGCAGTTGTTGGTCGATGGTGTACGCCAAGGTAAGTCGCGTTACTGCTCCACCGTACTCACACCGATCGCTCACCTCACCCACGCTTCTACGAACGGCGAGGTAGAGGACGACGCCCATCCATGACCCTGCAGTGAGAGCCTCGGAGGAGCTAAGCACCGAGGCTATTTTGAGAAGAGCACCGAGCCCTCGAAGTGCCTTTGAAGCGTAGTCATGTTTCCGCAATATTTCCATAATCTTACCTGTCCAGAAGCCAACACGGCAAGGCTTCCTCTAAGATGGGCCCAAGATCCACTCTCGTATATCCCAGAGCGGTATGCCGGTACCAGTCCCACTACATCATCGTGAGCTTGCGCTTGGTGACTCTTGGTGCAACATCCAGCGGGCGTTTCGTGCCAAGTAGTTCTGTTGAGACATGTGTCCTACGATCGGGCTCTCTCCGGTAGCCGTCGGTGTGCTTCATGTATGGCTTCGTGAACGACGTACCGGTATGGCGAGTGCCGCGCTAAAGAATATTGCGGAGCCCCACGCGCCAGCCTCGAGCAGGTTGCATTGGAATGGAATTCCACGGCCTCGATGCGCCATCCGATCCACAATTGCATTCCTGCAGGATAAGCTGACTCGGGCTTCCATTCGATCATACCAAGCGTGGTGAGGCCGTTACAAGCTCGCCGATCTTCAGGATGTCCGTACGTCATAAGTGGCCATCGTATCAGGCATAGGAGAGCGGGCCAAGAGCAACAAACTCCATGGCATGGTGTACTTGTCAGCCTCATCCAATTGTTGGGACGCGTCCCACCGTGCCGCTCAGAGGGCGATGGACCAGAAGTGGCGCCCGAGATGTTCCGGTGGCAGGCTCGCTTGTATGCATCTCAGCCATACGCCTCGGTAATGGCTACTGGAGACGGGATATCGACATCAATGTGGCATAGCGTTTAGGTGGTAAACAGCGCATTTCGGTGAGTGTGGAGATGCTTGGCAGGACTTCGGTATCTAGACTCAGCGGTCCGACAGGATTGTGTCGTGCTTGGTTTGCTTGGGCTGGATATCGGCTCCATATGTGGTCTTCGGAAGTGCGTAACACTGCGTATTGTTAGCTTTGGAGCGCGATTTTTGGGTTCTTGTCCGTGCGAGAGTCTATGCAAGACGCGTCCTAGATGGAAGCTTGATGTAATGGCCAAAACCTAACGCGTTGCTTATTGTCTGGACATCCGGCATTACGCAAGGTGCGGGGCTAGGCGTCGGCCGGGAGACTCACAACCAGGAACAAGGAACGGCTGCGGGATATTCGGCGGGCGCGAGGCATTTTGGCAGTATTGGGAAAGTCGAGATATAAGAGTGGAGTAATCGTCCCAACTGAGTGGAGATGGAAGGTGGCTGAGTCGAGATTGCCAGGCGACTAATCGAGTGTCGCGTGACGGCAAGCCGGGAACCTGCTTGGCGCTGAACACCACCAAGGGCTTATCAGCTGGCCAATCCCCATGTCTCGGTGCCATCCACGGCCTTCGATTCCCATGCAGGGCAAACCTTCTCCAAGATGATGATCCAGGACGAAGACTACTTTATCCCGCCCAAGAGCGGCCGGTACCGCTGGTACAATGAACCCCGCCAAACCTCCATCAGGTCGATAAGAATGACTGACGACAACACTGCAATGAACGATTCGAGCCCCTTGCTGCAACTGCCTCGAGAACTGCGCGATGAGATCTGGGAGCTGGCTTTCAACTCGACGAGGCTGACGTTCGGCCTGCGATACACACCCCGCTATGGCGAGAGGTATCTCAAGCCTGCCCCACATTCCCTCGCGCTATTGCGCGTATCCCGCCAGATACACATCGAAACACGCGACATATGGCTTCAGCGTGTTACTTTCAACTTTGAGGACCCTCAGACTATGCTAAACAGACTCTCCGAATTGCCTGAATCTACCGTGTCCAAAATCCGCCACCTTCGGCTCATCGGCTCCCCAATGATGCGATATCTCAAAGGCTTCGACGACCTCATGTACCGTCACGAATCGATCTTTCAGCTTCTCCCTGCGCTCCGACTGGACTGCCTGACCGTGTTTGCGGTAGCCGCTGCTGCACCGGAGTATGACGCTATCACAAACTTGATCAACCGCGGGAACGGTTGGAAGGAGCTTCGTTATGTCACTCGAAGTTCGCGCATGCTCGGCTTCAGCCCCTCCAGGAGCCACGGATCTCGCGAGACCGGTGACATATGCCGTCAGCCTCAGCCGAGGTTTTGGAACAAGAGACTGTGGAACAGGGATGGGGAGGGTTCCGGGTCAATCGTCCAAGTCTTCAGATCGACAGAAGAGAATGACTGCACGTCCGTCCTTGACCCAAACAGACGAGAGTCTTTCGAACAGAGCCCAGAAGAGCATGAACTCCAGGGATTCGGCAGGGTGGACGATGAGGATTTGACAAAGGGCGCTGGCGCTCGAAAGGCGCTGCTTGTCTTAGTGAAGCGCGGCGACAACATGGATGTCACTCAAAAGTCACCTGGTTACGGAAAAGAGAGGGACATGAAAGCGAGATTTCATAAGAGAAGTTGGAGGGTGCGAAAGAAAGTCATCGTTTGGACGCCACTAGATGCAGAGAAGGACGACGATGATGTTGGCAACGGTTGGGCGAGACCTCAGATCCGGCGTCCACCATACGGCTTTGACGACTACTACGATATCGACGACATTTGAGAAGAAGCAGGCGATTTGAGCCTGTATCTTCTGAGGGTGCATGGAATGACTGGCTTACTCATTCCATCATTCCACGACATTCAACATGATCCCTCCGACGTTCACACTTAGCGAGGACTAAGTTCTGCGCCTAACAACGCATGGTACCTTGATCTCGATCTTGACGACGGCATGATCATCGAACTGCACCTTTGGGACTCGGCCTTCCCAGGCGACACGCCTCCGAGAACGGCGAGACGAACGAACATGAATAACGTATGACTGATAACTTTAGATGTCTTGTGAGGTGGCAGCTCTTTCATATCGGAGACCGGAATGACTTGAAACGGTTTCGAGCACTGCAAGCTCGATACAGTCACGGCCGCAAAAGCAATTGGCCGCTGGCGGTCAAACCGGGTTGCGCATTTCTGATTTTGAGGTTATCGAACCCGATATCTCTTGTCCACATGGGTGTTATTGGCGTACTAACGGTAAAGGTCGTGATGATAGATATTTTGGTACATCTTCAGATTTCTTCGAGCAGGCTCAGGTAGACAGACAGCAAAACAACCATCATTCTCATAACCAACTCCATCACTCATCACTCATCAGTGCTCGGGCTTTTAGGGGCGCTCTATGTGTGTGAAGTAGATACCTGTCTAGCCAGAGCACCATCCTAGTTTACCACGTAGGTCTTGGCAGCCACCTACTCCAGCACGACCTCTAGTCACGAACCCGGCCAAACATATCAACGATATCCAAAAATGCATGTCAAGACATGACGTTCAAAATCACGTTACTTCCCTCCGAGCGAGTACCGTGATACGCAACCCCGGACAGACTGTCCAACAAGGTACTACCTCACACCAACCAACCCATGCAGAGCTTCTGAACCTCGCCAATCCGCGCCGCACACACGAAACCGAAATTCATTGCCTAGAATTTCCGCTGCTCTTTCGCAAGAACCTCGCCTTATCGAACGAAAGAACGAAACTGCCAACATGTCGCACGAATCAGTCTGGTACTCGCGCCCGCGCAAGTACGGCAAGGCCTCTATCGGCTGGTATGTCTGCGACTGAACCTAAAGCGGAAGAAGAGGGATCAAAGAAGAAGGACTGTGCTGATGAAGAATTAGTGTCGTTACCGGTGACAAGAAGAAGGCTGGTATCATTCGCAAGTACGGAATCAACATGAGTCGTCAGGCTTTCCGTGAGAAGGCGCAGGACATTGGGTTCGTCAAGGTATGTGATTAGATGCGGAGCGTGGTGTTTCGCAGCAGAAAACAAGGGAAAGAGAAAGAAGGAACAGGGACGATGAGATGGAGGCTGACTAGGAGATAGTATCGCTAAGCGCAGCCGCGATGGGCGCGGAACTACGATGAGAGAGTGTCAAATGAAGGGTACATGAGAGTACTACATCTAGGCACCAAGACCTCGATCACGCGGTTAGAGATTGTAGACGGAAGGAAGAGATTATGCATCGGTTTCCTAGTATGTAGCTACCATGCTACTACACTTTTCCCATTTTCCCCAATGAGCGAAACCAATAGCTCCTTCCATATTCCTCTTTGAGTCCTATCGTGCATGCCATCAATCAGACCTTGCGCCCTAGCCACCAAATACATCACGAGTCTAGAACTCAGCGATATGATACCCCTCCAACGCCTCCTCAACCTCCTCCATAGGCTCAGACACCAAATACGGCCCCTGCGGATTCATCACCTCAATCCCGCTCCCATACCCCCCATCCACAACCTTCACCGCACTAACCACGCCCTGCCCCTTGCCCTGCCCCTTCAGCTCGCCCACTGACTTGATCGCCCCGAACCTGCCATACACCCCACTGTTCTCCTCATACATCTTGTAATACGGGAATCCAGCCGTCGCGTACACCTCGTGCGAGAGAGGCCGGGTTAGCGGCTTCCGCCCCGTAACAGTTTCGTACAGCGCGGCATTCAGGATCTGCGCGTTGAACACGGTGGTTTTAGCGACGTCCCAGTTGGGGCGGAGGGTGTCGCGGTGGATGACTTGGTGGATGAGGCCGCCGGCTGCGAGGTTCATCTGTGCGGTAGGGTCTGGGGGGCCGGCGCCGCGGAGGCGGAGGACCATGTGGATGGTGGATTCCTTGTAGATGCGGTAGTCGTCGAAGTCACGGGAGTCTGGTGTGAGGGTTAGTATTCATTGGGGGTTGATGTGGTGAGGGAGGTGGGTGGCTGGCTTACCTTCGAGCTGCTTCCCAGCGTAGATCAAACGCATGTCTTGCGTGGGTATACCCGTTACCTCGCGGATACGTAGCTTGAAGTTGCTGATGGGCTCCAGATGGGTAACGTCAAACGTCTTGGTCGTGCCGTTGAGCTGCTTGAGGAAGATCTGCATGGGCTCGCCGGGGAAGGCTCGTGGACCGGGCAGTTTGTAAGGCGTGATTTCGATCTGGATACCGGCTGTAGCTTCCTGGCCTGTGATCTGCGCTTCGACTGAAGCCCCGCTGTTGCTGGGCATAGCGACAAACTGCCGGACTGTGCCATCCCCGTGGGCGATTCCATCGATCCACTTCTGTTGTGGGACGACGATGTAGTCTTGTAGGGGAGATGCGGGTTTGGCGTCTGCAGGAGCCTTTCCTAGTCGGATTTGTCGGCGGAACTGGTTGGCCACAGTCTCGATGGCGGGCTCGGCGGAGATGACGTTCACGCCGCCGACGTATATTTTGATCTTGTAGGGATGCATTTGCTCTTGGACAGGGCTGAAGTTGATCCACATCGCCTCGGATTCTGCACGCTTGTGAGTTGGACATTCGAGTTTCTAATCAGTTTGACGATACTTACGATACATGGGGAAGAAAACGCCGCTCTTTACGACCATCGCCTTGGGCAGTCTGGCGTTGTGCTGTGACACCGCTTCGAGTGGGAAGGCGCCGAGGTTAGGGGGGAGGTAATTCGACTCGGAGATATCTGGCACACGAACTGTGCGTCGGAAGGAAATCTTGAGGTCGTCATTTACCGTGATGGTATCATCTTTTAGCGTACACGACATTCCGGACTCGAGTTTAGACATGGCTGCGGTTGTTCAGATAAACAGGTTAGCAGTGCGAGCTGGTTAGATCTGCGCACACAAATTCCAGAGTCTTATCTGAGTGTGAAGGTGAGAGCGGGTCGGGTAGTAAAATAAGTGATGATAAAGGTAAGTGTAGAAGAGACCCAAGGTACGGAGTCAGGAGCGCCGAGGTCGCCCTGAATTACGGAATTGAGGGTCTATTTCGTTATTAAATTCGATAAAGTTAGGTTCGGTTCGTCGCTTGTGCGATGGCATTACCAGGTTCCCCATTCGACTGTCCCATTACATGTTCTTGTGCTCAGTGGCTAACCGAAGTAGGGCTCATACCAGACCCTTCCGGCTCTCCTCAACCACCTGCAAACTCTTTTGACAGTCCCCGCAGTACCCTCTGACCCAGTCCTCTACCTGCTTCTCTTTGCCCTTCTTGGCTGCGCTTTCTAGGAGCTTTCCAACCTTGCTACATTTATGTGTCTCATCCAGTAGCCAGTTCTCGTATTCCGCTTCCACCACTTCCTTCTCAACGCGATTGACGACGCGTAAAGCAACGAGTAGATCGTGACGGTGCGAGCCAAGGCTTTGTCGCGTGCGGTGGAGGCGCTGGGTGCTATGCGTAGAGGGTTTGAAGAAAGACTGGGTGGAGACGGTAGATGAGGGATCGTGGAGGAGGGTTGTGAACGTCTGGTGGCTGTATACAGTTAGCTGAGTTGGTATCTCTAGGTGAAGAAGCATACCATTTGTTATCAGTGCTCGCCGCGACTGGCACTGAAAGCTCAAGATTGGTGTTGTTCCGGTTCAAGAACGACTCCTCGATATCGCGAATGTAGATCGAGCGGGTCATCGTAGTCGATGGCTTGACACCCAATCGCGACATGTAATTAGCGGCATTTCGCTCGTGCCACCAGCTCCAACTGTCCCTGGAAGTATAGAAGAAGTTGGCTCCACCGCTGACTAGCAAAAGGCCAAAGAGCAATGTGTGTGCTGAGATAACTTTGCCAAGACCGGCTACGATCGCCAATATCCAGCTCATGACTGTTGACACCACACTTATAATGATGTTCCCTATGTATTGCGCGACAAAAGATGCGGTCGTCTGCGGGCGTAATTTGAACTTCCGAGGTCGGTTCGGCGGTGGTATGTCCTGCGCGTCGAGCTGTACAGCTTGTGTTTGGGCGCCGATCTGGCCAAAGATATTTGTGACCTTGTTCGTGCTTCTGTTGTGGCCGAGCCTGGCGACTTGATCATTGACGACATCAACAAGATCTTGCGCCTCAAGCTCCAGGTCTTGCAGGGCTTGGCGTTCGATGAGTTTCCTCGCAAAACGTGGGTTGCGCTTCCAGTCCACCTTTGTGTGGATAGCAAGCTTACATCGTGCTTTTGACACATGTGTGATGACTGTTTTGCTAAGAAGTACAAATCGATCGTGGCCTGGCAGGTACCAGGGTGTCTTGCGATCTGAGACCACGTAACAAAGATGGTCGTTGAGGACTTCGATGACCTGGTAGTCGTTTATGACAACAGCTCCGTTCTTACCAGGCTGTGCAATTTCGTACTCGAAATCTCTTCGTTGAAGGTTTTTATCGCTCGTGATCCACGGCCCTTGGACGATACGGGACGCTCTCCGTTCGCGGTAGAGTAGCTGGAACACCGCACTCTTGTCACCGAAGAGTATATGAAATAGGCCTTTTGCGCTGATGTCGTACTCCTTCTCCACGGCAACCTGCGTCATGCCAGCTGGAGCAAAGACTACAGCTTGCGACGGTAGTTTGAACTTGGTTGCGTTCTTTGCGGCACTTGCGCCGGATGGTCCAAACAGATTGCCATCAATGCGCAGGCTGGTCTTGATGTTCTTCCCGCCATAGCCTGTATCAACAGGCGTGTCTGGAGAGATTTCCTCCCAACCCTCCTCACCAGGGGCATTGAGGCTTTCATCCGTCTCCATCCTGATCATTCTCTTCATCGTTTCTTCAAGGT